AGGATTGGACACACGACACCTGAATGGTCCCTGGTCAAAGCGGGTCACATTGATTATAGTCAGACTGGAGCCTCCATCAGTGAGCTGAACTCTGTCACTTGCTGTAACCTCAGAGCTGCCGTTCAACCAGAGGAAAGAGAGAGAGGATCCAGAGGCCAAGCAGGACAGAGAGACAGAACTGTTGAACTCAACCAAGTCTGTGCTGCTGGAAGTTACCAACACATTGGAGACTTTCTCTGTGGAAAAAAAAAAAAAAATAGTTTCATTGTTGGCATCAAAAATAGAAAATAAGCATTGAAATAATTACAAATCAATTCCAGCTAAACTATGTCATGTTAAGGAGGATATATTACATACACAACCTAAAAAGACAGAATATCAATAATTGAAAGAAATACTGTACCAATCAAAACCTTGGAATATTTTTATTTGTATAAAAAATAAATCAACTCCCTTTAAGTGAATATTCTGAACAGAATAAATAAGACAGTTGAGTTCTCAGCTTGTTCTTTGCTTTATGGGGATCAATATTACCTTCAAATGAACCATTCAGTTTCTTACAGCCACTTTTTAAAGGCTTTGATATCACAGTCTTAAGAATAAGATGAAGTATTGCAAGAATACATTACTGCAGTGAGTAGAGATGTAACAAACGTACAAATCATTACAGGTATTTTTACATGTTCGATATATTGTAAACTTGCTTAAATATTGCAAAAACACTTTCAACGCTGTTGAATTTCTACATCTGCTCACCGTATATCACCAGAGTAATATGGCCATTCTGGATTTTTCCATCTTGTATAATATTAACAGTGTATTCTCCAGTGTCATCCACAGTGAGACTCCTGAGCTCCAAAGACGCAGTAGATGGGAAGAAGGTGATCCTGCCTTCATACTCAGGTCCAATAATGTTTTCTGAGTTCATTACGATTATTATAGTCGTACTGGAATTAAAACCCCAGCTCACAGATGAAAACGGTTTCTCTGTTGGAGACAGTGTTGTAGTGAACATCGCCCTTTCTCCTACAGCTGCATTCAGACGATCATCAGGCAACACACCAGCTCCTTCAGTGAAACCTGCGGGAGAAGAATAGAAAAGTGCTGTTGTTACTCAAACATATAAAACAGTTGATGAATATATAAAGATTTGCATGAAATATTGCAGGTCTGAAGAGTTTGAGTTATTTTCATTAAAGTCTAATGTCCGCTTTTCCAGATAATACTGCACAAAACTAAGCATTCCTAGAGAAGCCCCGAGAGAATTATAAGGATCACGGCACTGCTCTCCTACTCTCATTTAAAACACTTTTGTACAAACCTGCTTATTCTCTGATCCATGTTATCTGAGTAGGGAAATTTATCTCTGTTTATAATATTAAGGTCACATATGATTAAACATAAACTAGAAATGTATTCATCAGATGTCTCATAAAGTGAAAAACAAACAATAAATAAAGTAAGACTTTAAATTCAGTGTAAGCAGACAGTTTTTTTTTTCTGCCACGTCAAGCAGTAAGAGCTCACCTGAGATGGACCCAAAAATGAAGAAGTATATCACAAGTATATCAGAAAATGTTTCCATTTTTTAAAGCAGTCCTTAACTCTGTCTTTTCCTTTGCTAATACCGGTACATAAATGTTCATTCAATATATGGTGTCATAAGGAAGTAATGTTGTTATTCTGAAAGGTTAAACTTCATGAACTTGTTAATCATTAACAAACCTTTCTACTAAATGTTTGTGTCAGATTCTGTTTAGTCACATTAAGCTTTCCTTCTGTACTGTAACAGCTAGTTACAGGATGTGTCAACAGAAGTCAACATGATTTATTGTCGGAGAGAAATTAATTGATCTATTTTGGCAAGTAGGCTCCAATGACCCATCACAGCAGTGATAGAACACAAGACAGGAACCCAGCCCATCCCAGAGTCTAGATGTTGGTCGTGAAGATCAACCAATATCACACCAAAACGGGTAACAGACACGCTGGTCCACCTTGTCCATTTCATGCTTTGCCTCTCCAAAGGCAATACTAGGTTGTGAAGTTGGAGATGTTTTGTGTGGGTGTGTGTGGAATTGTTGTCATAGTGATCCAACAAAACCATCAGGCAACACAGCAGCTCCTTTAATTAAGCATATAGGAGACATTTTTGTTTGACTAAATGAAATGAAAACATTGCATTTGAAAATGGAAAATAATTCGCTGTAATTTTTTTATTTAAGTGTTTAATTGGAAGTTCACCTGCAAAAAATATATAAAAATTGCTACAAGAAGCAATGATGTGACATTGACAGATGCAGGGACAAATCCAGACAACAGAGCCAAAAGAAGATACAAAAGAAACTTAACAGGTAAAACACCTCACCAAAGGTTTTTCTTGTTTTTCTAATTTGTATCACCCTGTTTCCTCTGTCCATCTAAAATTTAGAGAAATATATCTCAAGTACTCAGAAGCTTTTGGAGGAGCTATGATGAAGGATCAAAGGAGTGTCCTTTGCAGAAATGCTTTCATTCAGTGTCTAAAAGAGGAATGATATTGTTACGCCCCACTTAAAAACAAAGTGTTGTCTGGGATGGTGAGTAACAAAGTGAAAAAGAAATGATAAACTGCCGCAAAGTACATTTATTACACAAAACAATTAAAATAAAACTGAACACAGGGAAGCTCTTTTCTTCAGAGTCCCCAAGGCCAAAACAACAAACAAAGCACCCCCTTTCAAACTAAAAAACTAACCAAGGACTCTCTACCCAAAAACAATAATACAATGGCTGAGCTCCCTGTCCAGCCAAAAAACAGGAGAAAACAATTGCAACAAAAGAGCTTGAGCTGCAACACACCTCAGCTGCGGCTCATGAGGCAGACCTGGATCACAGGAGAGGGAGAAAAGGCTCTCTCACATAGGGATAGCCACTAGAGGTCAGCGAATGTAACAGATACACATCTGTAATATATAAACCATGGTGTGAGGAAGACTTAAAACTTCTGTTTCC